TGTAACACCTTAAGTTGCAATTAGACTTCAAAATAATTAATTTGTAATAATAGAATATATAGAATACATTTTTATGTTCCAAGTATTTCATTTTTAAATATACTTACAATGTTTTAAATATACCACTTGAATTTTATCATTCTGTGCAATCTTGTAATATTTCTACTAATTTAAATATATTTGTATTAAACGTTAATTTATAAAGCATTCTTATGAAATTGCGATGCATTTCATAGTCTTGTATATCGTTTACTGATTTTACAAATAGCTATATTTCTCGTCATATTCATTAAAATTTAAGATCTATGCAAATGTACGAAACTTTCATACTAATGTTTTCTATGCAGTTTTTTATAAAAATTATTTTTCATCTAGTAAGCATACAATATCTAATGCTTGTAGGCATAAGTTATAAAACAATATTTTATACTTATATAGACGTATCTCATTTTTACAACTATCTCATTTTAAATTTAAAAAAACAAAGTCCGCACATTCAAGATACATTTTCATTTTTGTGTTACATATCTTTGATGTTTTCCATGTTTTCCATTGTATGCGTGTATGTAGTATATATAATGCGTTCATATAAATTCATGTCAAATATACATTTATATATATACGTATATATATAATTATACAATGTATTATATAATACATTCATGTGTGTGTGTGTGTGTGTGTGTGCGCGCACACACACACACACACACACATAATGGCACTCGTAATGTTTTCTTAATTACTAATAATTATTAATAATACGAGATATAAGAGTATTAATGTTTGAAAATGTAGGAATATTAAAGAGAATATTTGCGAATAAACTTCTAACAAGTTGTTCACTAATTTCCTGCCTAAGTACTCAATTTCATGTAAGTTTGCATTAAATTTCAAATTTAAATTTTAAAGAATTTATAAAAATTGCAAATGATTTCTAACATATAAATTTTTAATTGATTCTAACAAATGTTAATAACTTTTTGATTTAACTGGAAGTATTTATTTAATATAATTAAATTTAATTTGCATTTTTATAATCAGTATTATTGTTAGTACCTGCATTATCTATGTAACAGGAGGAAACTTATTAAGAGTAAAAATTTTTGAACAATGTGAATATGAAATTGTGAAGGAAAAAATGATAAAAATGTCAATTTAATTTTGATAATTTTAATTAATTTAAATGAATAATATTAAATTAGTTAATAAGGTAAAAAAATAGCAAAATCATTAAGACTCGAAATTTCAATAATGTACTATTATAAGAACAACAAAACATCATCGAAGGTTGACACAAAAGCACCGACGGCTTTTTTTTCATTTATTTATCCATTTATCTTCCATTGATTTCCGCCGTATAAACAAATGCTCGTTGGTATCCATTTACTTATATACTTTACGTCTGTATTTTTTGTTTTGAATTTCATAATCGTGTACTTTCGTATATACTTGTGTATTTTCATATACTTTACCACTGTGTGTACTTGTATATGTATCGTGTGTATACGTATTTGTTTGCCTATATACGCCAATGCTGGTTATTTTTTGAAAATATCTATATACCGACATGTATTACGATTTAATATTCTGCACATTAATTTAATGCGTGCACAATAGAATTAAAGAATAATATTCCAAGAATATTTTAAAACTGAAATAATTACAATAATTTTATTAATTTAGATTTTATTTATTGCTACATAAATACTAGTAACTATTTATCAATTACACAATTGATAATTTAACTTAAGTATTTGAGAGTTTTTATACTAAAGATATCTTTATATTCTCGAAATATTATTTCATATCTGTGCTTAAACGATTTATTTTCTTATTAACTTATCGTGTGTTTGAAAATTAGTTTTAGTACAAATCATTAGAATTTAAAGGCTCGACCAGCAGTGGTGTATAATTAATTAAACCCAATATCGAGAAGCAGAAAAAAATGATTTCCGTCTCTCGTAGTTGAAATACGACCAGGAGGCCGATTGATTCGTTTTTTTTTTTTTAGTTTCCTTTTATCGATTAAATTCATTTATCTAAGTAGTCTTAATCTTAAATTAGTCTGCTTAGATTACAGTAGCTTAGTTGTTTCTTATCAATCATTTTTTATATTTTTTTAAATCTTCTTATGTCTTTAAATCTTTTTATGTTTTCGTACATGGTATAGTCTGTTTTGAAATCGAGCCTTTAATGTAACTTAAATAGTTACATTGTAACTCAAACTTCAAGTCAGAAATCGAAATTAAGTGATAAACTTAAAATTTCAGAATTCAAGTTTGAAATTGCCTTTAAAATTACATGTACGAATTTGAAGTTCAAATTGAATTCCAAAATTTTGTGTTAGGATTTAAGAGCTCAATATTTACCAAGTTTGAAGTTTCGATTCTAATTTCAGAATATCAAAGTTTTGAAAATTGTTAAATATAAAACGATCTTTCTACAATATGGCTTCTAAATAAAAGCTTTAACTTTCATAGAAAATTAATAAAAATCTTTCAGATCTATGAAAAAAATTTAATTTCACTATTCTGAAATATGATGCAGTGAATTTCATCAAATCAAAATTAGAAATATTTTTTTTTAATTTAAAGATATTTAGTATTCAAATTATAATCAAACAAAAATTATAAGATTAAAAATTTTCAAGAATAAGTTATTATCAGATAAGGATTTTGGATAACTAACAAATATCAAGGATTTCTAGTAAGACATGAATTTTTTTAACGATATTTCAATGGCATAGGAATTCTAATAAAAATTACAGAATTATAATTATATAAAAAAAAAATTCAAAACCAAAACAAGATATTAATTCTAAATTAAGCTGGATGTTCTAAAACATATAATCTTAATAAAAAAGATTTAACGAACTTGAATGAAGGAGAGAAAAAAAAGACAGAATCCCAAACAAATATAGGGCATTATAAGAATTAAAATTCTAGTGTAATTGGAATTCTATAAGTTCGTATAGAATTGAGATTTGAATATAACACAAAATTTAATGAAACTTGTAAAGGAATTGAAACTTCAATTAAAATATCAATTAAAATAGAGAAAAGGGGTTAATATAAGGGAACAAAATTTTTAAATAGTTAGAATTTTAAAAATATTGAAATTTCAATAAAATCATAGTTTCAGATAAAATTATATATTACCACTGAGATGTAATTGAAATTTCAATAGAAATAAAATTCTAATCATGTTTTAGAAATCACAAATTAAGCGAAGTAGTCCTCTTTAAAAATTTTCCACTGTCAAAACTGCCTTTTAATCTCAACATTTTAAGCCACCAAAGACATTCATTTTTTCCAAGGTCTAAGCTGATACTGTTTCTTGGTTTATTCTCTTTTTATGTTTTTTTTTATTTTTTGCAAGTATTTCATTATTTGTAATCCTCTCCTCCCTTACACTTACACGCTCACGCACATTGTTTTTCTCTTCCTTCCCAATTTTTTAAATTATGTTTGCCTCTTTTCTTTCCCATATTATTTCTTTTCCTTTCTTTTCACTCTTTATTCAAGTGCCCCTCCACTCTTTTCTTCTCTATTTGTTGTTGGTAGTAGTCCTTATGTTAACCATTGATCATCTTGTATTGTATCTTAGGTTTCTCTTAATAATATATTAACTGTGTGTGTTTTGTTTTTTCTTTAATGTGATGGTGGAGTCTGGACTGAACACAATTATTTATCGATGGCAGTGTTAGTTTTAATAGCGATCACAACTTCTTCACCACATGCCTTCAAAACGGTGCACTAAAAAATAGAATATTTTTCTTTATCTTTCTAATATAAAAAAATTATAAAATATATATAAAATATAATATAAAATATACTGTAGAAAATAAATATTATTTATAAATTATAAAAGTAAATGGATAAAAATGGTATGATACATAGTACAAAGTAATGTATGTATTAAATAATCAATACAAAAAGCATAGAAATTTATGCAAGTTCCAAAATATGAATAAATATAAATAGAATAAACATTAACTATAAATAAATAGTAATAAATGTATTTTTATTAGTTTTATCATAAATTCGCATAAAAAAATATTTTATAATTAATTTTTATTTAACTCAAGTACTCACAAGAAGCTCTTTTCCAGCCTCATGATCAGCACGTAATTGAGCACCCAGTTCACCATCAGGAATTTTTAAATCTTCACGGAGTTCACCATTATCAGCCATCAGGCATAAGTAGCCATCGTCAGATATGTCTGCTAGCTACAACATAAATACATATTTAACTAAAAGAATATATGTATAAAAGAAAACATTGATAAACGAAAACAGAAGTTAGTATTTTATGTCATATAATAAAAATTTATATTATTACACAAATGATTCCATATTATTTTATAATGTTACTAAATAACTATTTAATAAATAATTATTATAGAAATATAAACTTTAATATAAACAATATGTACAATATTTTTCATATGAAATATTATTTTAATATAAAGTGATTTTCCAAAAGTATTTTTATGTACCTGATAATCTTCCCGCTTAACAAATGGCACATCCATGTTGTGCGTTGACGGACAAATATCCTCATATTTTTTTGAAGTAAAAATATCAATGCCTACAAGATGTACTTTAGCATGGCCATGTTTTCCTGTTTTAGAAGTTGACATTTCAACAATTTTACATGGCCGAGATTTTAGCATGACAAATCCATTTTTACGCAGAGCCGAACATTGCATTGGGTATGTTACAGAAGCACCGGAGTCTCCAGTCTCAAAGTGAGTATCCTCTATGTCTGCCATTCTTGGTTTCTGTTATTCTGAAATAATTTAAAACAAATAGGGAATTAAATTCAAATAAAACATGAATATCATAATTTGAAATATTTAACCATAATAATAATTTATAGAAGATTAATTTACCACTGCTTTTTGTTAATTTGTTAAAAATTTAAGTAGCATATAGAAAGCATTTTTAAATATTTTGTGCCTTTAAAGCAATTAATACTTTCCATTGATTTACATTTTTGCACATAAAATGTAAAATATATCATGTTTATGAGTAACATATATTTCTTTTAGAAATTAAACACTAAAAAAGAATAAATAAATACAAAAAAAAGAAACAAAATTTAATATTACATTTTATAAAAAGAATTAACAATGTAATTAATAAAAAATATAAAATTATTTTATATCTTTCAATATAATATTAAGAGATGATATTAAAATTTATAAGAAAACTAAGAAAGTAGAAGTCTTTCTAAATTGTGGTTCCTAACTTTAGCAAATAAAACAGTCTGGTAATATTATTACTATTATTAAATTTTACAACTCTAATAAAAGTTTAATTATATTAAAATTTTATGAATATTACATTTATAATAAAATCAATGTATGGAATATAAATTATTTTTAATAAAAAATTAAATTCCTACCAAAAATTAATAAGAGTCAAAGTTATTTCCAATACAAATGAAAGCTCCAATATAAACATAAGTAAACTTCTACAAAAACTTTTACAAAATATAATGCTATATGATCTAGTTTATTATATTTTGTAAAATACTAAAGATATGTAAAAATTATTTATGCAAAAATATAACAAATACAAAAACCTATGTAATCTTTTACAATATGTTTTGGAGTATAATATTTCAAATGTACGCTGCAGCTTATTTTTTTTGGAATGAAAAAGCATACTGAGAAGTTTAATACTACAATTTAGGTGTACTTCAAATTATAAACAACAGATTCAGGTAACACATTACACAGAAATTGCTCAGAACATGTTTCATTACATGAAATGAGATGTTAGACGAAATCGTAAAAAAGCCAGGTGTTTTTGAAATATTATAAATAATAACGAAAAAGGGAAGACAACTGAAACATCAAGTGCGGCAGTCAGTGCTAGGAAATGTTTGTGAAATAAACGTAAAATGCAAAAAGCATCGAAAGAAACTATCGTGAAATTCGATCAGAACGAAAATGAACACGTTGTGCAAGCACAATCTAACCAAAGATTCTAACTCGCTGACAGTTCTCCAATTAATGAAGCTCCCCTATGAAAAATGACATGAAAAGCCTCGCGAAAGTCGAATTACCTTTGAGGACAAGTTTAATACGGTTTTTTGACCGTTTTCCTTAAGAAGATGGCGCGAAAAGGATTGCGTGCGGTTCGTCGTCGAAATTGCCGACTCTCGAAAAACGTTCAAGAAATCACAGATACGTTCTAGCCTCGAATACCGGCGTTCTTCGCTTTCGGGATTTTTTAACAGCGTTTTGCAAACGTTTTGTAAACTTGTTCGTGAGTGAGCACAAGCCAATCACCAAGACTCACCGTGAAAAAAGAAGAACAGACTGGAGATACTCACATGTGATCAAAATGGACACTCTAACCAGAAGAGTTGGCTGCGCTTGCGCGAACCGCTAATCGGCGACAGGGGGCCACTCGAATAAGTCCACGGATTCCGACTGGGAGTGTTTGTGGGGGTAAAGTTAGATGAGAAATTTCATGCCAGTTGGGAATTTAGCGTGATGCGCAAGCGCCATTCTGCATGGTGATTTGGAAACTTAGTTAAATTAGATACTAGATGCGTAACAATATCATTAAAATTTCAATCACGAAAAATAGCGTTTAATTATTTACTTGTTTAGCTTCGTAATAATTACGTAGCATTAGTATTTTAAAGTAATACTGTATATTCAAGCGTCGTGTGCTCATTCGTATGTACATAAAATCGTCCATTCAAATCGATTCCCGCGAATATTTTCGAAATTACTAACACTGAATAATATTTCAGATAAGCTTTCGAAATTATTGAAATTTGCAAACTTAATGCCATTAAATCATTGCCGGCAAGAATATTCGAAAAATCATGAAGTACCTACTACTTTGAATGATTTAGAACTTACAATCTTTTGATATTAAATTTCTAAATCGTAAACGGACTAATATAGATGCAATAAATTTTTCTAATTAATTAAAATAGACTTTGGAATAATAAGTTGTGATTGTTATATTTATATAAAATTTGTTAAAAATAGTAATTTATTGTAAAATTTGTTTTATAACAAAATATGAATTACACTGAATGAATTCCTTTAATGAAAGCTACAACTGATGTAATTGGTATATCTGGTAGAATACCATGTCCCAAATTCGCTATATATCGAGATTTACCAAACTTCATTACCATATCTCGAGCACGATCGATTATTTCTTGCTAGAAAAATAGATATTTTGATTAGTTCGAGATAAAAAAAACAACCATGTATTAATGGTCTTAAATATAGTAATATTCAATATGAAATTGTACAACCTCAGAAGCATATAATGCACATGGATCCAAATTTCCTTGCAAAGTAATTTCAGAACCAAATCTTTTTCTTGCTTCGATAGGATTGATAGTCCAATCTAAACCCAATACTTCATAAGTTTTAGACTTTGCCAACATTTCTAAAGAATTCATAGTTGCACCTTTAGGAAAAGCGATCTAAAATTCGTTATTCTTTAACAACTTAAATTAAAATAAATTACAGCACATATATTGCAATATTCAGTTTATCTACCATTGGTACTTCAGGAATATTTTCTTCTTTTAATCTTTGTCTCACTTTGTCGCTAATTTCCTTCAAATATTTAAATGAGTAGTTTTCAAATAATTCATCATTAAGGAAATCACTATGACTTTCAAATACTTGTAACAACTGTAAGAGAAAAATTAAATCATACTTCATTAATTACTATTAAAATTATCTTATTTCTGTATTTTTTATAAATTTGTAGTATTGGCTCGATAAAAATATATATATATATATATATAT